GTAAATATATATTAAATAGAGCGACGTCCGGCATCATCGATTCGTCCCCGTGTATCTTGCTGCTGGCACGACGAGCGCAGAGGTGCGTGGCAATGATGATGTGTGTCGTTTGACATGCAGGGCAGGCACTGTCATTGACAGAATTGGCACGGACGCCAGCACTGTACCTGCACAAGAAGGTCGAGTATCTAATGGCGCGTGGTCCCTCCAAGACCGTGCTGTTCATGTATTTGCCCTCATAGACTCGGTCGATGTACGCTGGAGCAAGTCCATTACACTATGGTTGCCGCGCATTACGAGCGCACATGCGAGTCGGTGGTGCGGGTGCCCCGGCGTGAGTCACAGACCTTGATGGGCGGTGGCTCTACGAAAAGCTCGACGACGATACCAATGCAGGCGCTGACAATAGATGGCCATTCAGCTCCTTTCTTCAAAGATGAGGATGCCAACGACGATGTGCTTCTGGGATATGCTACCAGCGAGAAGGCATGGCATCGCCGTATTGCGTTGATCGTCCAATCGAGCCTCTTAATTCGAAACCTTAAATAATGCGCTTTAAAAAGCGTGGCGGGCCGCGCGCCACGCGTGATGATTCGCTGTGCGCAAGATCCCGCATCCATGTCAGCGGTGTGTATGTTACACAGTTGCCAGCCGGCGCACTAACTTCTATCACGCTGTTCAGCGTGAGGATGATATTCCAAGGACATGCAAGTCGAGACTGGAAGACGCTGGCGGCCTGTAAAATGAGTTGAGGGCGGCCGCAGCTGCCATGATGGAGCTGTAAAAGCTGCTGTCGACGATTGCGTTTCCCGGCACTGCGAGTAGCCGCACGGCAAGGGCCGACTGCACCCAGGATTATGTACACCTCCCTGCACACCGCTTCAACCTCGACTCCTTGGAGGCAGAGACCGTCGCGAGATGGCGGCGAGAAAGAGAGAAGGACCCAGAAACGTGCGAATAGCGCAGAGTATCTCGGATACACGAGACGCTTGCACACGACCAAGCCGCAAGCACGACCAAGGCAGCCTCAACAAATGGACTTGGGTATGTTCAAGGCCAATTACCTCTCACAATGGATATTTTTAACCAGCGAGATCCAATGTGACAGGTTTGGTGTTGGCCAATCACACGCGTGATGGCGCCCAGCGAAAAACGTTGGCCCGATCCGGATGCGATATATCCGGACAAATGTGGGGCATCGGGACAAACCTACCGGGTCCACATGACGACGCGGTCGATGAAACTCAGCAGCTAGACTCAGAGCTTGTAGCATACACCGTAGCCAGACCAGTGGTCCTCGTCATGGGTCCTAGTAGTGTTTAGTGCGACACGCTCTGCAACAGGATCGACGGCGACGACGTCGTTGCGCCAACCTTTCAAACCGACCACAAAGCTCACGCGCTGCAGTAGATCATCCAGCACGTTGAATCCAATGTTAAGCTGCAGCAGCAACGTGCTCTACTTCATACGAAGCGCAGTCTGTAGAGACGCCCGTCGACTCGTCGGACCATGGTGTCAAAGGCACCCGTATGTACCCTTGATGGTGTAGTGCGCCCGACAGCAGCGCGAGCCATTGATGAATGAGCGCCTTGACAACCATTTTGTGTTACTACGCACGCACCTGCGTGTAGGTCGCTCGCTGCATCGCACTGTACTTGGCTCGTACGAGACGTGGCACGGCCGCATCTCAATGTGCGGACAAAACGCGCTTCCTGGGACAAATTGAGGTTTGTCCCGCTGCCATATCCGGTGGAGGTGTCCGGATAAAATGGTTGAGGCTGGCTGGATTTTTCAAGCCAATTGTCAACCAAACGTCAAATTCGGACGACGAGGATGATGCTGCATGTGCTCGGCCGTCGCTCGCGGCGCGCCGCCGCCCCGATGCTCCGCGCGGGCCTCTCGACCGAGGCCGAGGCCAAGGCCGACGACGCCAGCTCGTTCACCAACATCCTGCGCAACCTCCGCGCGAGCGAGCACTTTGACCTTGTCGTCATTGGCAGTGGCCCATCCGGCCAAAAGTGTGCGATCGACAGCGCCAAGCACGGCAAGAAGGTCGCGATCATCGACAAGAAGGACATGCATGGCGGCGTGTGCGTGCACACGGGCAC